ATTGAAACATTTTGTGAGTATAAAAAAAATTATTACATTTTAAAGAACCTTAACCGGCATGAAAATGGTGTCCTTGAATTGCGCCAACAGGAATATGCATTAAGTTAACTTCCGGTCGGGCGATACGCACTTGTGTTAATGTGTTTCAGAGTTTCAAAAATATTTACAAAAGGCTTGTGTCTGTAAAATTTCTGACTTTGGCTAGGAAAAGTCTTATAAGAGTATCGGATATGGTTTGAGATAACAATATCTGGCACCTACAGGTGTTTAAAAAATTTCGTGATAACTAAGTAGCTCAATAATCCAAAAAATTACGAATTTTATTCCTTGGATGTTTTGAAAGATTCTAGTTCTGACTTCATATATTTTTTTATAGATTTTTGAACCCCTTAAAAGAAATACAATTGAAATTTTTGAAGAAAAAGTAGAAGTAATCGCTGGAGATCTCGCCGTTTCTCAATTGGGGATATCCCCAGCTGATCAAAAGAAGATATTGGAAGAAACGAATTTTGTGTTCCATATCGCAGCGACAGTAAATTTCGATGAGAAGATAAAGAAGGCGGTCGAAATCAACATTAAAGGTACTAGAGACATTTTGAAATTGGCAAAACAGATGAAATGTTTGCAGGTATGTATAAGCGATTTTTTTTGGTACTAAATAAATAATCTATACTATGCTGACGCTTCTACAGGGGTTTGTTTATATTTCAACTGCGTATTCTAATTGCCCGCGACATGAAATTGAGGAAAAGTTTTATGATCCGCCGTATGAAGTGGATAAAATTATAAACATCGTGGATTCATTGGACGATGATCTCCTGCAATATCTAACGCCAAAGTAAGGATTCTCATAATCAGTATTTCAATGACTGTTGTTTAATAAATATAATCGATGGAATTGATCATGAAATAAGCGCATATTAGGGTTGATTGTTAAGAACAGGACGTAGACGGCATTACATAGTACCTACAAAAAAAATACCAGAAAGCATGTGAAGTTAAAGGTTTCGAGTTTGCTGACGTTTCGTCTTCGATCATGCATCAGAGATCGGAGTACTTCTCCTAAACAAATGTAGCGTCCAAATTCAGAACCTAAAACTTCACAGTGATCGATGACCTACTATTTTTACCCTTACAAAGAAAAGGGACATTCATTAAACATTTTCCATTTATTCAAGGATGTTGAAGGATTGGCCGAACACATATGTGTTTACAAAATCCATTGCCGAACACGTTGTAAAAACCGAATCAGATGGGTTGCCTTTATGCATTGTACGACCCTCTATAGGTAAGGGTTGTCATCATCATCATCATCATCATCATCATCANCTCTTCATTTCTAACCTTTTCTACCCACGATATCCTCATCATCCGCCTATAACACCACATTTCGAAGGTAAGGGTTGTAGGCGATATATTTTTATCTTATTATTTTTCATTGTATATTATGATGAAAATGGTAAGAGAGGAGGTACAAGTGTGTTTTTGTTCAATTATGCGTACGTTGCAGTGATGTCCACGTATCAAGAGCCGTTATCAGGCTGGGCTGGCAATGTATTCGGGGCAATCGGGGCTGTAGCCGCAGGAAATGTCGGTTTAATAAGGACGATGTGGGTGAAGCGTTATAAAATTGCAGACATAGTTCCTGCCGATTTTGTTGTAAATTGTATTATCTCTGCTGCATGGGACATTTCGAACGATAGGTAACGAGATGATACATTAAGAAGAATTATAAATATCAAGTGAGACGTAGCGCATCGCCATCTGCAGATTTTTTTGTTTACTACAGTATTTCGTATGATTGTTAAGGGTTTTATCCTATCGCCAAAGTAATTTAATAAACGACATTGAGTTTTTGATCAGCATTCAATGTATTACAATTATCGGATTTGAATCGCAATTTTAAACTTATTAGCACGTCATAATGCTACGAGTTATTACAGTTAGCAATAACTATCAATAGATGGCGATATACTACTAGTTACTTGACCATTGCCAATAAGTCTTAAACCGCTGAACAAGAACTTGCGTACTTATTGTTATTAATGACACAATTGCATTTTCCCCAGGGAAAGTTGCGTCGCCGAGCCAGCGATGAGTTTAGAATCCAAAGAGAAGACAACAAAAATTTATAATTACGTGTCCGGACCCGAAAACTCAATAACTTGGGGTATGAATTCGTAAACAATTATTTTGAAATAGTTTACGTAAGTTAGTGCGCCCTCCTACTTTTTGTTCCAGGGAAAACATACGAGTATACAAAAGAATCGGGCAAAACAGTACCGTCGAAAGCGTGCCTGTGGTATCACTTCTTTGTGCCCGCCTCTACCGAACGAATGTACAAAGTCTACATGATCTTTTTGCATATAATTCCGGCATACATTGTGGATTTTATTGCGAAACAGTCTGGGCGAAAACCACAGTGGGTATACACTTCAGTATAATCGACACAGAATCGTTAATCGTAAGACTGGTTGGGCCCCGCACTCTCCCTCTATCTTATCCTGAGCTAATCCTGGAATTTCCTTCAAACAGGAACATCCTCAACTATTTTATGTAAACACTAATCGAATCTAGGTCTACATATATCACTCTTCCATTTCTGTATCTCATTCCTACATTTTAAGTATAATTAACATTTTGTCCTATTTAACATTGGTCTTCCCCTAATAGTTTTTCCGCTCTTTTTCCACCGAGGCTTTCCCCGTCTCGTAAATGTGGTTAAGTATTCTATCCTCTTGATGTTTTAAGATTTCCGCGTGTATCCCATCCATATCTGTTACCTTATTATTTTTTATTTTTTTTCTCTCTCCCTTGTTATGGATTAGTGCCATTTCCACTTGCACCCCGTACGTTATCTTCCCTTATACATTTTACTATTTGTCTTTTAACAAACAATGCTTATACCTATTAGTTATTTCATCATCATCATAAGGTCGTCAGCTCTAAGACTGGTTGGACGCGCATGTCCACTCCTTCCTATCCTAAGCTAATCTTCGCATTTCCCTAAAACTAGAACAACCCACATGCTTAACTATTTGCGAACAGTAATCTAATCTTCTTCTACCTCTACTCCACTTAACTCCCGTTTCTGCCTCTAATATGTCTCTGACTAGACCTTCATGCATATTTTGTATTGACTTCCATAGAGTCCTCTGTTCTCCTACTCTTTCTAATACCTCTTCATTTCTAACCTTCTTTATCCACGATATCTTCATCATTCACTGTCTGTAACATCACATTTCTAACCTTTTATTTAACGCCGCGCGTGTTTCGCACCCGTACAGCGCCGCGCTCCAACCATGCATCCCTGTCTGACTCCTTTCCTAATATCTACTTCTCTACGTTGTAGACCCAGCTCTATAACTGCCTGTTGCTCTTTATACAAACTAAGTATCACCCCTTCATTTCTAACCCTATTTATCCACGACATCTTCATCATTCACTGTCTGTAACACCACATTTCGAACGCTTTTAACCTTTTATTTACCGCCGCGCATGTTTCGCACCCGTACATCGCCGCGTTCCAACCATGCATCTCTGTCTGACTCCCTTCCTAATATCTAATCTATAACAGCCTGTATCACTCTTCTATCTCTATAAGTCATCCCTACATTTTTAAGTATATTTAACATCTTGTCCCATTTAACATTGTCAAAAGCTTTCTCTAAATCTACAAATCTCTAAATCTACAAATCCTATGGCCTCCCGCGTTCCTCTATTTCTTCTAAACCCAAATTGATCTTCCCCTAATAGTTCTTCCGCCCTTTTTTCCATTCTTCTCTATACAGTTCTAGATAAGTTTTTTAACGCATGGGTAGTAATCTATTAGTTATTTATTCAAAATTTATTATCAATTCTTCTGATTGTGTTTTCTTCCGTTGTTTACGATTTTAGTTTTTAGATTAGTGGAGGGCTACAAGAAAATCCACAAATTATCCGATGTCCTGCATTATTTTGCGACACACGAGTGGAAATTCGAAAATAAAAACACCAAAAGCTTGTGGAAAAAACTGAGCGATGAAGACAGGACTATGTTTCCGTTCAGCATGAAGTTGTTAAAATGGGAGGATTATTTTGGGATATGCATGAGGGGAGTGAGAGTATATATACTTAAAGATCCGATGGAAACACTCGAAGAAGGCAGGGCCCACTATAGGAAACTGACAATATACCATTACACACTAGTTTGTTTTTTATGTCTATTAGTTGTCGGTTTTTTGAGCATATTTTTAAATGTTTAATTTCCGTGTTGGTATGGTAATTGTATTAAACTATAGACAGCATAAATTTTAAACGTTGTAGCTTTATCATTTGGTGGCATTTAAAACTTATAACTGAAAATTAATTAAAAAAAATTGTTAAACTACTATACGGCACCGAATGCATTACAGCGCTGTGGGTAGCAAGTTGATAGCAGTAACTTTTGTAAAAGTTTATGTTTATTAAGTAGCCATGTATGTATGTATGCATGTTTTACAACAAGTATTATATATTTCTGTATAAATAAATACTTCAGCCTGATATTGCTAGGACGATCAGTTAGTTATATTTCCATCAAATACAAGGAATCCTGAAGAAAATTGGGTTTTTGTACTTTACGAGAAGATCATCAATAATTATTTTAACATCCAATTAACTTTAAGTAGTGTTATACAAGGATCTAAAAATGTGCCTATTAATTGAGAAACCCATCCAATAATGTCAGGATAATCAATTATCCTTCGAGAAATATCAACAGAAGTACAAATAAGGACAGTCGAAGAAGTTTCAGTTTCCGTACTGAACCAATGAACTAAGTAAATAATTTTATGTTTATTTAAATTTTATTGCTATAGGTATAAAGGGTTAAAAATCACGAACGATTAACTGTATCAAATATGCAAAATTTCAGAGTACTTTTTTCTACTTTTGTAAAGTAGTTGTGAAGATGCAGGATCATACTGCGCGAAAAATGCGGTTTAATTGTTTGAATAAATTTTTAAAACCGCGAGAATTATTAGATGACAAGCGTCTGTAGCAAGGAGCGTGAATTACCAGGATAACTAGCTATATTTTTATAGATTTTTAATAATTATTTGTTTTAATTCACAATATTCAAATTTTACCGTCTATTATTCTGTAGTACTGGATCAAAAGATTTAATTTTTTTGACACAAATTGACTAAGTATTGCATATTTTATAGATTTTTAATAATTTTTGGGTTTGTCAAAGGATAATCAACAAACTTCCAGTATTTATTAGAGACAAATAAAGGATTACTTCACAAGAATAACATCTGAGTGATGATATTTATCCTGAACTATTTCAAGGCTGTGAATTCCATTGTTTAGTGAAGATATTGACAGGATGATCAGTTATCCTTCGAATAAAACCATTACATTAGTTTGTTAAAGTGTCCTTGTTGAAACATGATTCTAGAGTAAGATAAGGGCGGCGAATTGAACCAAAAAAATGTTAAATATAAAAAAAAGGATTCAATGGCAGGTATTTGTAAGTAAGGATTACGAGTTACAGTGTTTAGAGGACTGCATCTTCGGTTGTTTAGTGAAGATGTAATAAAATGTTCGAATAAAACCATTAGATTGGTTTGTTGGTGTGTCCTTGTCGACGCAGGATCACAGAGCAAGGATAACAGCGATAAATTGAATTAAAGAAATTTCAAATGCACAAAAAGGATTCAATGGCAGGAATTTGTAAGTAAGAATTATGCGTTACAGTGCTTAAAGGACGATATCTTCAGTTGTTGTGAGTGAAGATGTAATATTATCAGTATGATCGGCTATGGTTCGAATCAAACTATCACTTTGGTTGGTTAAAGTGTCCTTGATGAAGCAGGATCACAGAGCAAGGATAACAGTAGTAAATTGAATTAAAGAAATGTTAAATGCACAAAAAGGATTTAATTGCAGACATTCAATTGCGACATCTTCAGGTGCATAGTGAAGACGCAATATTGCCAGGATAATCAGTTAAATCGTCCTTGTCGACTTCGATGCTAAAACCGACTAATTTCGTCATTCCTATCAGACATTTAAACGCACCGAATAGGCCCAGAGGCAGGAAGTTGTAGTAAAATAAGGACGAAGCCCCCACGAACGTCGATTGGGAGTCGAGCGCACCCTGCGCCGCGTAAGGGATGACGCGGATGACTCGACGCGTATGTCGCGGCGATTTCGCGTTGTGTCGCGTTGAGATCCGGGTTCGCGTCGATACGCGACAACTGGGCCAGTAAATGATCGTCGTTGGGCGGGTGGGGCGGCCGTCGTTGCGCCGCGGCCGCCGCATCAAGCAGGCCGTGAGCGCCACGACTGTGCGTTATGTTTTCTAAACAATATCGAATCAGTAGGCAACAATCGCGCGCTGCGGATGCGACACGGTTTGTTGCTTTTCCTGTTGCGCCATACGCGAAGATCGCAGTTTGCTCCGAGTTTTCATCGGTTGCTTCTTCCTTTATTTTTTTTTCTTTTTTTTTTTTTTTGACCGGCCGTCGCCGCATTTTTGTTTGGATTGATTACAATGACGTTTCTTCCAATCGACGACGAGCGCGAAAACTGACGCAAACTTGCATGTGTGTATTTTGTTTGACAGTGATCGTGGACTTTAAACCAACTACGCCCGAAACTGTTAAGATAACGAACCGACAGATCGGAGTGCGCCATGCGAACGTAGGAGTAAATTTACAATTATTTTAATTTCGTCTCTGAAGACCACAAAGAACGAACACGAAACGCAGAGGAGGTAAGAGACTTCTACCAATTGTAAGAAACAAAAACCACTTTTGAAAATTGAAAGAAAAATTTGAACAAACAAATAAATAAAAATAAATAAAAGCCGACGTCATGAATCCTAAATTTAGGTCATCAGTAAATAATTAATGATAGGTAATTATCGACGTACTTATGAAGCTACCAATTAAAAGTCTGCAGTTAATTAAGAACACAAAAACACATAAAGTTATAAACGGGAGTTTTTTTTACTCGATTACTTATTTTATTCGAGTCGCATGTTTGGATGACATTTTCACTCAACAGGTTTGCAATACAAATCCTATTTAATCCAGTTGTAAATTTTATTGAAAAGAAACGGTTTTCAACTGGTTAATGCATCTTGCTAATTATTTATTTATGTAAAATGTATAAATTATCAACAGAAATTATGTAGGTACCTGTTACATAACTAAGTGTTTACTAAATTGGTTAGAGATAATCAATTTTGTTTCGAATTTCCGCATTTTGCATCAGCTTAGGAAAAATCGGCTTCTAAAAATAAAACCTTTCAACATACNTAATTATTGTAGGGATTAATTAACCCCATTGCTTGGTTTTTTTTCTAACTACCCCTTAATGTTTGAGAAGGTGCCCTACTTATTTAAAAAATAAGACAAATCATAATAATCAAAATGAAGAAATCATTCAACAACCACAATAAACTGTGAAACAGCTTTATTAAGATCTCTTAACAGGGCTAGCTAGGGTACACAACTACTAAAAAAATAGATATTTATGTGTTTTTATAGTATTTTATGTAGTGGTCCAAATGAATTCTGTGGAGCGAGTCGCGGTACCTTTATAGTATACAACTGGGCCGCACGAAGTAGCTCTGCAAACTATTAGTATTTAACCCCAACGATGTTTTCCATTGAAAAATTATTTCTATCAAAAGTTGATAGGTTCAACGAGAAAGTTACATACAATAACATTTTTAATATTTAATAGTAGTTAATATGAAATATTAATGTGAAAATTCATTTTCCATCCACTACAAAATATCTTTTGTAGTGGTTAATGAGGGAAAATTTTGGTTTGACTTTACACATCAATGTTCATTAATCTGAAGCAGTTTGTAGTGGATGGAAAATGGAAAATGAATTTTCACATTAATATTTGAAATTAACCACTATCAAGTGTCAAAGCGTTTCATATAACTAGTTTTACAAGTTTTTAATATCTCCTTAAATACAAATCCTTAAACTGCTTATTAAAAGATTTGCAATGGTTGGCTAAAATAATAACTGCATAAAAATATTAGTATGTTTTATCTCTCAAATGAACTGAACCTCCCCAACTGGAACTTTGATAACTCTGAATTTTCTATAACTTCAATACTGTTGAATATATGTATGTAATTGTCATATATTTTAATCTCCTTGAACTTCCCCAAGTCAAAATTGTTTGAAACTCGAAGCTTATTTTGTAGGCGGAATAGGGTACTAACCAGGGATGTAACGGAGGTAGTTTTATCGGAACCGAAGGCGGAGTCGGAGTTTTTAAATTTGCTTTATCGGAGTCGGAATCGGAGTCG